ATATGTAAGGTCAAATTTATAAGATTCCTGCCTGCTTTTGCTCACCATTGTATCTCTAGTGCCCTGCATAATGCCTAACACATAATAGGTACTCAACAAATATCTGTTGACTAAATAGTGAAGAAGAGACATGGAGCATGAATGAAATGTTTTATATTACTATGTTGTTGAAAGGGCTATATTTTAGGCCTTGCTCAGAAACTACCTTTGGCAAAATTATCCAGTAGATAAACTTTATCTTCAAACATCTAGTCGAGCTCACTCTGCCCACTCTATTAATGGAGAGGAAAAAAAAACCTCTAGAAAAAGAAGCTCTTTAAATAATTTCCACTGATATATAAAAGACTGATAATATTTGACACTTTCCTCTACTCCCCAACCAATGGTGTTTGTTTTTTAATGGGGGATGGGGAAAAGTTTATGGCAAAGTAATTAATCTATAATATTATAATTAAATTTCAAGCATTATTTGCAGGTAAGCAAAAGGGGGTATGCCACTTTTGAGTAGAAAAATGAAGGGACTTTTCATGCTCCTCAGATCAAAGTGATCAGCTCTCTATGCTATGTGTAATGCTGGCGTTCTGATATTACAATCCAGGTCATTCCTCCTAAGCACAATGCCTACCCATCCCAAGTTCTAAAACGTTTGCTTTTCAACAGCACATTCAAAGGATCATACACTATGTTGGACAGCAACTAGACTTTGGGGAGTGATCGTTTGTAATATATACATATGTTGAATTATAATGTTGTGCATCTGAAACTTATATAATTAAAAATAGAGATGTTCCTAGCAAAAGTACTTGCAAGTTGCATTCAGCACAGTATTTTTGAGTGAATGAAAGTAATGCTGAATCTGTCATGCATGTAGTGAAGTTTTCCAAAAGACTTTTGATAAAGATGTTTCAAACTAGCTACTTGCAAACAGCATTCACGACAGTGTACTTTCAGTGAATGGATGCAATACCCTCTCTGTAATGCATGAAGTGAAGCATTTAACAAGACTAATAATAAAGATCCTTTTAACAAGGTACCTGCAAGTTGCTTTCAGCACAGGATTCTTTCAGTGAATGGAAGCCATAACCTTTCTATAATTTATGTAATTCTGTATAACATTTGTAATAAAGATATTTCTAATAATGGTACTTGCAAGCTGCATTCAGCAGTGTTATTTGAATGAATGGAAGCATAACCCTCTTTCTGTAATGCATATAGTGAAGTGATTATCAAGACTTGTAATAAAGGTGTTTCTAACTAGCTAAAAGTAAAGCATCATAAAACATGATCAAGTGGGATTTATCCCTGGCATGCAGGGATGGTTCAAAATATGTAAATCAATAAATGTGACACATCACATTAACAGAATGAAGGATAAAAATCACACAATCATCTCAATAGATGCAGAAAAAGCATTTGACAAAACTCAACACAGTTTCATGATAAAAACTCTCAGCAAACTAGGTATGGAAGGAATGTACCTCAACATAATAAAGGTTATATATGACAAACCCACGGCTAACAGCACACTCAAATGATGAGAGGATGAAAGCTTTTCCTCTAAGATCAGGAACAAGACAGGAACACCCACTCTTGCCACTCCCATTCAACGTATCAATAGTAATGGAAGTCATGGCAAAAAGGAAAAAAGAAACAAAAGCCACCCAAATTGGAAAGAAAGAAACAAAATTATCTCAGATCCTAGATCACATGACCTTGTATGTAGAAAACCCTAAAGACTCCACAAACAAACAAACAAACAAACAAACAAACAAAAACTGTAAGAACTGACAAGTGAACTCAATAAAGCTGCAGGAACATAATCAACATACAAAAATCAGTTGCATTTCTAGACACTAAAAAGGAACTATCCAAAGGAAATTAAGAAAACAATCCCATTTACAATACCATCCACAATAACAAAATAGTTAGCAATAAATTGAACCAAGGAGGTGAAAGACTTATACAATGAAAACTACAAAACATTAATAAAAGAAATGAAAGAAGACACAAATAAATGGAAAGACATCCCCAGCTCATGGTATGGAAGGCCTAATATTGTCAAAATTTCCACACTACCCAAAACAATCTACAAATTCGATATTATCCCCATCCAAATCCCAATGGCATTTTTACAACAGAAAAATAATTCTAAAAATCCATAGAGAGCTACAAAAAAACCTGAATAGCCAAAGAATTCCTGAGAAAGAAAAAATCTGAAGGTATCACACTTCCTGATATCAAAATATATTACAAAGCCATAGTAATCAAAACAGTGTGGTACCGAAATAATGATAGACATATAAACCAATGGAACAGAATAGAGAGCATAGAAATAAAACCACACAAGTCAACTGATCTTCAACAAGAGAGGTAAGAATACAAAAAGGGGAAAGGATAGTCTCTTAAACAAATGGTTCTGGGAAAACCAGATAGCCATAATGTGCTCATGTCTCCTATGGTTAAAATTAAAATGCAATCTAAAAATGCACTTATTTCACTTAGCATAATGTCCTCCAGGTTCATTCATGTTTTGCATATGGCAAGATTTCTTTCTTTTAAAAGGTTTAATAATATTCCATTTAATGTATATACCACATGTCTTTATCCATTCATCTATGCAAAGTGCAATCAGATTAAAAAAACTGGACATCCACATGAAAAAAGATGAAGTTGAACCCTTACCTTACACTATCATACAAAAATCAACTCAAAATGGATCAAAGATCTAAATGTGCAAGAGCTAAAACTATAAAACTCTTAGCATAAAACAGGGGGAAGTTTCCTTGGCATTATTCTTGGCAATGATTTCTTGAACATGACACCGAAAATAGTGTCAACAAGAGCAAAAATAGACAAATGGAAATACATCAAACTAAAAAACTCTATACAGCAAAGGAAACAATCAATGGGGTGAAAAGGCAACCTACAGAGTGGGAGAAAATATTTGCAAACTATATATATGATAAGGGGTTAATATAAAAAAATATAAAAAATGCCTACAACTCAATAGCAAAATAATAATAATAATAATAATAATAATCTGATTAAAAAGGGGCACAGGACTTGAATAGATGTTTCTCCAAAGAAGACATACAAATGGCCAGTAATTATATGAAAAGGTGTTCACTCTCACTAATCATCAAGGAAAGGAAAGCCAAAACCACAGTGAGACATCACCTCACATCTTTCAGAGTGGCCATTATTTTTTTAAAAACGTTATCACGAGTTGACGAGGATGTGGAGAAATTGGAACACTTGCACACTGTTGGTAGGAATATAAAATGGTGCAGCTGCTATAGAAAATAGCATGTAAGTCCCTCAAATAATTAAAAATACAACTACCATGTAATCTAGTAATCCAACTTCTGCATATGTATTCCCAAAGGATTGAAATCATGATCTCAAAGAGATATCTGCATTCCATGTTCATTGCAGCACCATTCAAAATAGCCAAGGTATGGAAACAAACTAAATGTCCATCAACAGATGAATGGATAAAGACATGTGTATATACATTAAATGAAATATTATTAAGCCTTTAAAAAAGAAAGAAATCTTGCCATATGCAACAACATGAATGAACCTGGGGGATATTATGCTAAGTGAAATAAAGCACTCACAGAAGGACAAATACTGCATGATTCCACTTATATGAGATATTTTAAATAGTCAAACTCATAGAAGCAGAGAGTAGAATAGTGGTTGCTAAGGGCTTTGTGGAGGGGGAAATGAGGAGTTGTTATTCAATGGGTGTAGGGTTTTAGGTATGCAAGATGAATAAGCCCTGAAGATCTGCTTTAAAAATAGTGTTTATACTTAACAATACTGTATTGTGCACTTAAAATTTTAAGAGGGTAGATCTCATGTTAAGCGTTCTTACCACAATAATTAATTAATTAATTTTTATAGCATTTTCTAAGTTTACACATTTACAACGTGGGTGCTTCCTCAAGCCATGTCAGAAAGTGTCTCTTGCTATTTGTTCAAAGTTGTTGTTGCCCTTTGTTAAACAACCCCCAAACTCTATTTCATGCATTGGATGGTATTTCTAACTCTGCTAGGACTCCCTGGAGAACCAGCAAGTTCTATGTTGCTCTAGGATTTGTTTTTGATCCATAACCACAAGATTTTGAAAAAGGAAACTTACTTTGAAAAAAAAAGGGTAGGAAGACAGGGAAGGAAGGAAGAAAAGAAGGGAGGAAGGAAGGAAGGAAGGAAGGAAGGAAGGAAGGAAGGAAGGAAGGAAGGGAGGGAGGGAGGAGTTGCTCTAAGCCTGCTGATTTGGGTTTAAAGACAAAATTATAAAGCTCTTTTGTAAAAAACACTGTCTTAAAAAACTGCCAGCTGAAGCCATCCCCAGGGTTAATGGGAAATGTGGACATGACTAAAAGTTTGAAGGTCTGAAATTTTGGAAATAGAATACTACTGAGTCACAGCTTTTCTGGAATCATAGCCGAGGTAACTCAGGTTTGAACACCTGCATGGAATAGGGCTTCCATGGAAAAAACGCTAGAGCATAGGAATGCATCATTTCATTTCAGGTAGTTTTCACAATCTCATAGGAAGCCTTATTTCACAAGGAAAAAACTGTTCCTTAAACATGTACAAAGACTATGACAAATAGCTCTGAGAAAAATGGTTCTTCATTCTAGCTTGTCAAGCCGAGGAATTCTATGGATGATTGATCTTTGTAGTTACAGCCTGAATCAAGTTAACAGCTGTTTAAGACAACATCAGGAAGAAATAAAAAAAGAATCATGAGAGAAACCAAATAAAAGCTTGAATGAGAGCCTTTGAGCCCAAATCTTGATTTAAAGTGTCTTGAACGCTCTTTTTGCCCCATTTCTTTCCTTCTTTCTTTCTTTCATTCTTTCTTCCTATATTAAACTACATATTGCAGTAAAACTAATGTATCTCAGTCAGATGTCTGAGCTCCCAAGTGGCCTGTGTTTTCCCCCCATTACAATCTTTCTAATAAACAAGAGCTGTCAATTACTCACCACGTAAGTCAGCACTCAAATGTCTTCAGTTTATTGCCTGTGCATGCAAATCTCTGGCATGGCTATCCCGTGTGTCCATTTTAGTGTATCCTCTATTCAGTCATAATTCTACTCAAGACTCAAATCTGATGATAAATTCCATAAGTGGGGTCAATGATTGAGAGGAATAGTAAACCTTTTTTTGTAAATCACTCTTCAGCATCCCCAGACCAAAACCAGGATTAGGATTTAGAGAGACATTTCTAATCCTTTAAATTGATCCCACCTGTAGCAGAGTTAGTGCTGACCTAAATGCATTGACCTAGAGATTAACAAACAATTAGAGTCCTCCACATAAATGCGTCCTCCACAGCCTACTGCCTTCTATCTTTCAAAGTTGCATTCACACACCCTCGGATTTTGCCTCTGTGTTCTTCCATTTTTCCCTTCTAATAATCAAACATACTTTCTCTAGGACACCTTTAAATGCCAGGACATTCATCAGCGGTGATTCCAGGCCAGGATATGAAAAATGATCCAGGCTGGCTTCCTGCAAAATTCAAAGTAGGTGAAGTCTATCTCCTTCTATTTCTCTTAAATGCCTTTACTTCTTTTCCTTCTGAGGGAGACCTCTAACTGCCACCCCTCCCCCCCAATTCTGAACACACCCCATACTTTAGATCTATCCCTTTTCCCTTAGCAGTACTCTCTGTCATGGGCACCATTCATTGAGGTCCCTGTTCTAGATTCCTAAAGTAAGAGCTAAGGTGTTGGAGGCTAACAATGACTTCTATTAAATGAGGGCTACTATATGGCAGACATTTGAAAAATAACAATTTTATTGAAATACAGTTCACATACCATAAAATGTACTCTTTTAAAGTGTACAATTTTGGGGCCGGCCGAGTGGCGCGATGGTTAAGAACTGGCTTGGGACGCCAGAGGGCCCCGGTTCGGATCCCACATATGAGGGCCAGTGACACTGCCCTCCACAGCTAAGATGCTGAACGGCAGCTCGACCTGGAGCTGGGCTGCCGTGAGTCGCCGGCGACGGCGTAGGCTGCAGTCCCTGTGGCAGTGAGATGCCATGGGCTACCGTATGTAGCCAGCAGCCAGCGTGAGTGGCCAGCAGCCACAGTGAGCGGCCGTCCAGAAGCCGGCTACTGATCTGCCTCGCCCGGGAAGAGCACAATGATGGTGCCAACTTGGACCAGTGAAGCGATGTCCTTCACAACTAGACTGAAGAACAAAACGACAGCAACTTCTCTGTTCCCCTTCCCCCACTTCCCCAACACTGTTCCCATCCCCCCAATTCCCCAATAAAAAAAATCTTTAAAAAAAGTATACAATTTTGTATTATGTAATATATTTACAAAGTTGTACAGCCATCATCACTATTCAAATCCAGAACACGTTGATAACCCCCACATACAATCCTGTGCCCATTTATTAGTCAGTCCCCATTCTTTCTCTCCTCCTAGCTCCCGTCAACCACTAATCTACTTTCTGTCTTTATGGATTTGCCTACTCTGGACATTTCATATAAATGTGAACATACAATATGTGGTTATGTGTGACTGGCTTCTTTCACTTAGCATATTGTTTTCAAGGCTCATGCATGCTGAAATGTGTGCCAATACTTGATTATTTTTTATGGCTGAATAATTCCATTTTATTGGATATGGCACACTTTGTTCATTCATTAATCATTGGATGAACACGTGGGTGGTTTCTACTTTTTTGCTCTTATGAATCATGCTTCTACAAACATTGTATACAAGTTTTCATGTGGACATAGCTTTTCAATTCTTTTGAGTATATACCTAGAGGTAGAATTGATGAGTCATGTGATAACTGTGTTTAACTTTTTGAGGAATTACCAAACTGTTTTCCAAAGAGACTATACTATTTTAAATTCCCAATATACGAGCGTTCTTGCTTCTTTTTTTTTAAGATTTTTATTGGGGAATTGGGGGATGGGAACAGTGCTTGGGAATTGGGGAAAAGGGTACAGACAAGTTGCTGTCGTTTTGTTCTTAAGTCTAGTTGTGGAGGACGTTGCTTCACTGGCCCAAGTTGGCATCATCATTGCGCTCTTCCCAGGAGAGGCACATCAGTCGCCTGCTTCTGGACGGCCGCTCACTGCGGCTGCTGGCCGCTCACGCTGGCTGCTGGCTACATACGGTAGCCCATGGCAACCCACTGCCACAGCAGCTGCAGCCTACGCCATCACCGGCGACTCACGGCAGCCCAGCTCCAGGTTGAGCTGTTGTTCAGCATCTTAGCTGTGGAGGGCAGCGTCACTGGCCCTCACATGTGGGATCCAAACCAGGGCCCTCTGAAGTCCCAAGCCAGTTCTTAACCATCGCGCCACTCGGCCGGCCCAGCGTTCTTGCTTTTTGATGTCCTTGTCAATACTCATTATTATCTGTCTTATCTTAGTATGGTAGGCATTTTTACATGCACATTATTTCATTTTATATTCATAACAACTGTGAAGGTAGGTATTATTCTCCCCATT